TATATATATATATATATATATATATATATATATATATATATCCTTTTTCACTTTGTTCCAATGGCTCCCCGCCTCGAAGACCCGGCCAGCCGTCCACAGCCATTTTTCTTCCTCGAGGCAGAAGGAAGTGAGTGAGTGTGTTGGAAATAAATTTCGCTGCGTGTGCGTGGGGGGGAGGGGGGAGGGGTGCGGCACACACACGCACTCGCAAAAAGAGAGAGATCGCCAGGCAAAAAAAAAAAAGAGACTCTTTCCATTATTCCCTGCAGGCTCAAATATGTTCCGTGTCACTCTCCGTTTCTTCCCTTCTTTCTTTCTTGACCGATCCTCCGCATGCGTCTTCTCCTGTTCATTCATTCCTGCCCCCACTGCCGCTCCAGCTCGTCCCCCGCAAACCCCCCAGCAAGCACGCACCCCAAAGAGGCACACAGACGCACACGCACTGGGAGGAGCATCCCCCCGCTTCTCCTTCATCTTCCTCGCTCTCCGTGTGCCGGTGCTCTTGCGTCACTTCCGCCGCTGGTGTTAGATGTAATATATGCTTATCTTGTGTTAAAAGTAGCCACGTCGCCGTTAGGCTCCTCGGTGGTAAAAAAAAAAAAACGACCAACATCCAAAAAACAAAACGCAGGCACGACGATCCCTCCTCTTCCCGCGAATTACTTTCTCTCACTCTTCACGCGGTGCGGCTCCTACTCTAATGGCGATTTTCCTTGACTTGGTTTATCCGCCGCATGCCCCCTTAAGCGTACCTGCGTGCGAGTGCATGAGTGTATGTATGTGGTGCGTTGGGTTGAGGGGAAAGGGTGTTAGTTCTTTTGCCAGCCTATTCAGTTTAACTTTACCGGTGCGCCGCGCTTGATAATGCCCCACCCAATGAGACGGAAGTTTTTCTCCACCAGCCGAGAAATGGCAATGTGCTCGTCCAGCGTGCAGCACACAGGGGTCACTAGAGTCAGCTTCGCAATGTCAGGGCTCTTTGTGATGTTTACTACGGTCGCACCTGCAGTGAGCGTGCCCACGTTGATCTGAAGCGTCTCCTGCAGGTTTAGCTTCTGTACACGTCTTGCATTACGGTCGCGCTGCTTGCTGCGCCCCACCATCTCTTCAAAAAGAAAGTATTGCACCTCAATCTCTGCATAAACCTCCGGCAGCGACCCGTCATCGGCAATCATGTGCCCCACCATCTTGTCCTGGCGCGTCAACGTTGGGTCCAGCGTGGTGCCAACCGCGATCAAGCCACCAGGGACCGCGTACTGCAGGGAGTTGTCCTCCGCCTTCAGCGTCAACGCGCGTGTACGCAGGGGAGTGCAGCTGAAGGTTCCACCCGTCTGCGCGTGCACCTGCCCGGGGCGAATCTCCAAGAGCTGGTTCACGCGAATGATGCCCCGCGTCACCGTACCCCCCGCCACACCACCGCGCAGGTTCTCAATGTTATCCTCACCGGGTTTATTAATGTCGAAGGAGCGTACCACCGTCATGTGGGCGGGGCAGTTCAGCTTTCGGGTCGGGAGAGGAATGTGGCACAGGTACTCCAGAAGATAGTCAATGTTGCGTTTAAGCTGGGCAGATATTGGGATGATGGGTATGTTAGAGCCAATAGTGCTGTCAATATAGTCACGGATCTTGTGGTACTGGTCCTGCGCGTGAACCTCGCCAACGAGGTCAATCTTATTCTGCAAGATAACCAGCTTGGCTAGTTTCATAATCTCCACCGCCTTCAGGTGCTCCAGTGTCTGCGGCTGCGGGAACGGCTCGTTTGCTGCAATAAGGAGGAGGGCGGCGTCCATGATGGCGGCACCGTTAAGCATCGTTGCCATCAGCACGTCGTGGCCAGGGCAGTCCACAAAAGAAAAATGACGCTTCAGCGTCATCGGCGAGCCACACGTTGGACAGTCCGTTTTGTCCGGCTGCGACGAGGGAAAGGAGTGGAAGGCGGCCGGAAGCTCGCACTTGTCGCACTTGAACACCTTAGCATTAGCGTACCCGAGGTGGATGGTGATGTTCATCACCGCCTCCCGGTGGTACTTCTGAGTCTTGACGCCGCTCAGCGCCTTCACAACGGTGGACTTGCCGTGCGCCACGTGGCCAATGGTGCCAATGTTCACCGTGGCCTGTCGCGACATCACCTCGAACGTTTCCGCGTTGATCTTATTGAGGTCGAGCGCATTGATGTCCTGCGTTGACAGCCCCTGCTCATTCTGCTCGTTAGTCGCGAGCGTTTGCGCGTCCATCGTGAAGTCTGCAATGTCATTCTCGTCCATCTTCCTCACTCGTTCACCGTATTCTCGCTCTCTTACTCCTTACAATGTGGGGATTGTGCTGCAGGCAGACGGGGAGAGAAGCGAGAGGCGTTGTTGCACGTAGCGTTGTCGTTGATAGGGAACGGGGAAAAGGTGAAGACGGAACAACCGCCTCCGCCTCCGCCTCGCCCCCTGGCCAACACACGCACACGCCGATGTATGATGTTCTTATAATGATGACACATGTGTGTATATGTCTCTGTGTCCTCTCCACCATTTACAGTCCCTCTCCGTCTCACTCCACGTTCTCAAAGTAAACACTCACACCAGCCGCGCAAAGCAAGACTGAAAAGGAAGACGGGTTCCATATGGAATATATATGCTTATATATATATACTCATTGAAATCCCGCTCTTTTCTAAATAAAATCGCTCGTTCATTTCCCCTACTCACACACCTTTATTTTTTCGTTTGTTTTTTTTCCTCGACCACAGAAACGCACTCATTGGCCCACAGTTACCCACGCACGCACGCAATGAAAACGAGATGACGGTGCCGTTGGCGGCAGGGGTGGGTGGGGGCAGGAAAGGGTCTTAGTCTAAAAATGCAGCAACGAAGGCCGCGTCTACCCACAACAACAATGAGGGAAACCGCAAAAAAAACACCATCATCGCTGTGCGAGACTTTGAGCTTTGTCAACTATGCTCAGTACCGAGAGAGGCCTGCGCTACGGCTGCACCCCTCCTCTCCCCCCTCCCTGCGTTGCAGACACGAAGGAGGCAGCATGAGGGAAGGGGAATTTGAAAAAGAGTGGGGGAGCAGCCGCCGATAGGCAAGTCCTGCGCGCGCCTGCAGGGAACGGCAAAACACAAAAGTCAGACTTGCACAAATAAACACAACTACCACGCACACACAAATAAAGAAAGAGAGGGAGTCAGTACTGTACCTTGTATCTGTGCGCTTCAACAGTTAGGGGAAAAGCGGGAGAAGGAAAAAGTACCTACTTCGGAGGGCGCTTAAAAAGACGGCCAACCGTCCCCGTTGCCAAAGAGGAAGCGACGTTTTCCTCGATTCCCCCCGTTGCTTTGCCGCCGCTTGCCAGCAGGCTCGCCAAGGACTGCAAGTTCTTCTCCACGGCCCTCATTCCGGACAGAAGCCCCTCTGCAACCATCCATCGGATTAGGATCAGCGCGTCACCAGGTGACTGGATTCTCTCCTTTTTGCAGGCAGCCGACAGAACATCGTTGACGCGGCCGTTTTCATCAACTCGTATACGCCGCACAGAGTCAGTGTATCTCCGCAGCGTGGAAAACTCCTTCTGCACGTTCTCCAGCGCGCGCTCACGGTTTGCGACATCCACGGCGCAGCGCTCCAGGGTGGTCACAATGAGGTAAACAGACGAGAATACACTCAACACCTCGCTGCAGAACTGCTCTACCGACTGTGTCATTGACTTCCGCGCGCTGTCGACACGCAGTCTTTCCATGTCCTGGCGAATGCCCTCCGTTCGCTGCTCCAACTCTGAGCAGACTTTTTGATAATTCTCCGTAAGAGTTTTGTTCTCTGCGTTCAGACGCTCGCACTCGGCTTTGTAGTTGATGACGCGCCCAGACGCATCCCAGGCGGTCATGTTGGCCCCCTCAAGCTTCTCCCGCATTGTATCCAGCTCCTTATTCTTCTCTGCAACGGTGGTCTTCAGAACTTGCACCTCGTCTTTCGCCGCCTCCAGCTCGCGCGTCAAGACATTGATGCGGTACAACATGTCCTCATTTTCCTCCAGCAGCTGCCGCGTCGTGGGGTCGAGGTCGTAGGCAGGCAGCGTGCTGCCACTGACGCTGCAGGTCTGTTTTCTATGCATTTCCCGTGCCGTGTACAGGGGGCGCTCCACCACCGGCGAGGTATCCCTCACATCGTGCTGCATCGTTGGTTAGAACCCACGCACAAAACAAATTTAATTGCCGCCTCTACGCGTGGATCGTGTTGCCAGCTTGTGGCAAGTGGCAAGTGGCAAGTGGCTGCTGCTCCTACTCTTTGCTCGTCAGCGGAAAATTCAAAAGAAAAAAAAATTAAGAAATAAACAGGCAAGCGAATAGTAGAGGCCAGTTGCAGGAGGCGGCGGGAATAACAAGGGGGAACCCAGCAAACACACCAACACGCCCAGAGTGCGGGCCTAGCCGGGGCAGGGTGGAGGAAAAAACGGACAATATGACGGCAACATGGTGGTGAAGGAATCATGCACCGTCCAATTTCTATAAACTTGCCCTGTAATTACCATAAATAAGTGGATACGTGCGTGGACCCCTTGCGGTTCCGGCTTCGTTTGCCTCTCCTCCACTGCTGCTCAGGCAGCCAGCGTGATGGCACGCCACACTGCCACTACTTACACATATACATAGAGATACAAGACGAGACGGACGCGCATACGGAAAAACAAAAAGAAAACAGCGACTGCATCAAGTAGGAAGATTCAGCAAAAAACGCTCTCTTTTTCTTTTGGTTTGTTTGCTTCTTCATTGTAACAGAGGGAACTCAATAAATTGATAGCATAAACGCACATCCTTAACAACGCATACGTACGGGTAAATTCATCCAACAATAATAAGACAACCCCCCCCCCCTCCCTCCCAAAAAAGAAAGAGAAGAATTAAAAAGGAGGATGAAATATGCAACTAAGAAGAAACAAAAAGAACAAAAAAGAAAGAAAACGTATAAATAAAACCACACAACACAATACACATACGTGTGCGCCAAACGCATGAGTTATATGCCTCCCAAAAGACGTATCAAAACCCATTATACACAACACTCCATGACGGTCAGTTACTTCGGCAAAAGCATGTGCGTACTTGTACTGAGTGTCAGGGGGGTGAAAGGTTCATCATTTGCCTTGAGTGACTGCGGGAGTGGCGGGCCCCACGTTTCTTGTTCGCACAACGCTCCTCCCGTACGGTTCGCCGTGAGATAAACGCTCCTCCCGTCGCTGTCGGATCCTCTCCAACTTCGCCTGTCGTTCGCGCTCCTGGAGCTCCCGCCTCCGCCTTGCCAGCTCCATGTTAATGAGCTGATTATTCTGGTGTTCCCGATTGCGTGACCTTATTCTTCTCGAGCTCAATGATGCGTCGAAGCGTGGCGGACTCTTTTTGTCAGCCCTTGATTAATCA